TCAGGAATAAAGGAGGGAGAGGGGGAAGAGTTGTAACAGGGTCCTTGCCCACATTTCAATATTCCTGCAGCCAACATGGAATACAGCTGCCTCTGTTTTGGGAGTTTGATGACACTGTTGATTTCCCTCCTCTGCCAGCAGTTCCATCTTCCCTGTGAGGGTGGGGAGGCCCTGGCACAGGTTGCCCAGAGAAGCTGTGGCTGCCCCTGGATCCCTGGAAGTGTCCAAGGCCAGGTTGGACGGGGCTTGGAGCAACCTGGGATAGTGGGATGTGTCCCTGCCCATGGCAGGAGGTGGAATGTCTAAGGTCCCTTCCAACCCAAAGCATTCTGTGATTCTTGCAAACAACTCAAGGCATGACCATGATGATAATTCTACATAACAGCACAGCAGGAAAGGTACTGACCCAAAGCCTTGTTAATGCACAACACAGGTAAGAGTTTGTTGGGTGGTATTTTTTTGACCCTTTTTAGATATTGAATTCAGGCAAAATCAATGTTTCTGAATAACAACAAATCATTCATACCCATTGCAATGGTGATCTTTTCTCCCTTGACTCATACACAGGAGTGCTCACATAAATATACATCCACTTCCCATCCACACAGTATCAAACACCCCAGAAGTGCTACAGGACCCAGCATAACACGTTGGTTTAGGAAGATCAACCCTGCAGTCACGTGTGTGCACTGAGAGGAGGTACTAAAGCTCAGCACACAGGCACTGCTGGCTGAGCTGTGCAAAGGTCACCCTGTGCTGTGAATAAGCTCATGTCAACACTGTGAGTTTATGAGAGTGCAGAAGACACTTTGCAGAGGAGATCCAGGCTCTCTGGGTTAAAAGGTTATGAAATTTAGTCTAATCTCTATTTCTGTTTTCTTAGACGTTCACTATCAATCTATTATAGGCAAAGAAGTCAGTGCAACCCAAAACTAGGTTTCCCAACTTCTTTTACGTGACCCTGACCATATTTATCATAGAATCACAGAAGGGTTTGGGTTGGAAGGGACCTTAAAGATTCCACTCTCGTACCAGCCCCCTTCCACCAGCCCAAGTTGCTCCAAGCTCTGTCCAACCTGGCCTTGGACACTTCCAGGGATCCAGGGACAGCCACAGCTTCTCTGGGCAACCTGTGCCAGGGCCTCCCCACCCTCACAGGGAAGGATTTCTTCCTAATATCTAATCTACAAGACAACTTCTACAAGACTGTTCAGACTTGTAGTTTAAACTGCTCAGAATTCTCCCATGCTACCCCAAAATCTCTTTTTTAAATCACACTGATTTGCATCATCATTTCTCAGACTGAAATAAAATAATTTCTTTTTGCCAAAACATTCCTTCCACCACTCCCTTGAGAACCACTTGTGTCTCTGTGCTTCATCACAGGAGTTTCACATTTGGCACAAGGTGAAAGGTGAAAGGTTTGTATCTGTTGCCTTCACAACTGTCCACAAAGTTCTTATACTGGAACACACTCACGGTCAGCTACAAGTCAGAATAAGCAAGATACCAAAAGATTTAACACCCAGGAACAGAAAATCACCAGAATAATCAGCATGATTTCTAAGTACATAGAAACTAATAAGGAGATGAGCACTTGTCAACATGAATCCCTCAGGAACAAAACAAGCTGATTCAGTCTAATATTGCTCTCCAGTGGATGAGACTTTGTGGGTAAGGAAGAAGCAGCAGATTCCACACACCTCAATGTCACTGAGGCTCCTGACATTGTCCCACGTGGGTGAAGAATGCCCTGGCTGAAGTCATGACACAAATCTGGTTGGAATCTGCAGTCTGAAAGCAGTTTCCAATGGTTCACTGTGAAATGCAAAGGACAAATTGAATGGTTACTCAGCTGTTCATAAGATCCACTCAATATTTTATTGATAGGCTGGATGAGGGAATGGACTGTGTGTTTATTAAATCTGCCAAGATTAAATCTGCAAAGAGTGGCTGCAAATACATGGGGGAGAGTGGTATTAGAAACTTTTGACAACTTGGACAACTCTATAAATACAGGAGCCATCTCAATGGTAAAAAGCATTGTGGTTTCACTTAGGCAGGAGTAAAGTGCACAAATACAGGATGGACATCAGCTGGGCAGAGAGCAGTCTGGAAAGAAAACCAATCTAAAGGTTCTGATAACAAGCTGAACAGGGGTTATTGTCTGAGCAGAGAGAAAACACTCCTCAGGCATATTAGCAGAAGAATTACCTACAAGACATCTTGCAGGTCCTTTTGGTGTTCTCAGGGACACCTCAGTGCAGAGGCACATCCAGCTTTGGGTGCTGCTCCTTTGACAGGATAAGCAGCAACACGAAGGGTTCGAGGGCTGGAAAACATGACCTGAATCAGGAGACTGAGAACAGAACATGCTCAAAAGAGAGAACACCATGGAAAGATGCAGTAACAGCCCTGACAGAGCAGGATCAGTGCAGTAACAGTCCTGGAGCAGATCAAAGTCTGCTACAAAATGGAAGAGAAACAACCGCTCTGCACACGCCAAGAATATCATCAGCAGATCTGACTGTGTGTGGAAGGAGGAGATGGAACAAGTGATCAGCTGAGATTTCTTCCAGCTTCACTTTTCAATGATTCTGTGCCCAGCTGAAGACAATTAGAGTTTGTCTGTACCCAATTGCCCTGATGTCCCCCAGTGCCTTCACGCAGCAATTGCTCGTGCACATTTGCATCATTTTTGAATTAATGTCTTCATTAAGGTTAGTGTTTTACGTTCATCCTACCATCTCAAGACTATCTGTCTTACAAATACCTTATCAAAATGCTATTTGCCAAACCAGTCTGACTCACAACTCATTCATCAAAAGCCATTTTAATAATTAGTCCTCAAATCCTAATTCAATAGAATCTTCGTATCTTGATTTTCCCTCCCACCCAGCACAATGGGCAAAATGGTGTGTAATCCTTTGGCACCGTTACTTTCAGACTCACAGAACCCAGATTAGAGCTGCTGGTGCCAGTCTCCCTTTCCAACGACATAATTTTAGAAACTACTACAATTTTAGAAAAGAAAATGTGAACATCTTGGGCCTCTCAGCTGCAGATTCTTACAGAAGACACTGCTAGAGTCATTAGTATCCAGTCCAATCCCTGGCACAAAGGCAGGTGTAGCCCTACCTGTGTCCATTCTGACATCAGAAAAAATCTTAAAATACTTGAAATCTTCCCAAACTACCCATTTCAGTGATTCTACATCCTGTGTTAACAACTGATGTCCCTGTTAGTGCAGTTCAGCCTGTTATCTCCAGCCACTTTCTCATGGAAAGCAGTTAGAGCTGCAGTGGCCAGGCAGGGCAGCTGATAAATACGACACTTTCTTAGTCACCATGACTTCTCAGGGTGCCAGGGGAAAGCTGTGCTGCCTTATCAAATCATTATAATCAATGACCAATATTGATCAGAACCAGCTATAGCCCAGCTTCCTGCAGGATCCATCGAACTAAATGGCTGGAAACTGCTGGAAGGACAGCAAAGATCCTTGTGAAATTGTGCAGGTTCTGAGATTTATGGAAGCACAGCTCGATTTCACTGGCATACATTCAGTTAAATCAACATTATATAAAACTTCATATATAAGGTTTCTTATATAAAAGAAATCACGCGCGCCACAGACCTCGTTAGCTCTGTGTACCCTGTTAAATTGAGTTGATATGTCAGAGAGTAGAAACCCAAAAGATTCCTGATTTATCATCTTAATCCTTTACATTTCCTCTCAAGAATTCACACTGCTGTCATTTTCTCCTCCATTCCCATTACCTTCTTCGTAACATATTGGCCTTCTTACTTTTACTGAATAATTCCTGGTCTATTATATCTATAATTATACTAATAATTAAGCATGCCTTTTCATCAGCTAGCAGCTAATTACTTCTGCTCCTACCCAGCTTGCTCAGAAAACAGTCAATTCATCTGCATCCCCATCACTCTCCCCGTTGCTAAGCAGTCAGTGCCACTCAGCAGTGGCACTGCAATGGGGTGGGGTGGCTCACCCTGCATTCAAGGTGCTTTGTGGCACCTGAGTGGAGCTGCCTTTCACCCTCAGAGGAGTTTTTCACCTGAGCAAGCTTTAGTCACCCTTACTTGGCAAAGACTCCTTATCCCAAACAGCTTTGGAGCTGCCTGGAAGTAGCTCCTGCTCACTGCAAGGAGTAGTTTGTCATTGGAGAGACACAAAAAGAACTGCATCCTAAACCAGCCTCTGCCAAATCAGTCTTAGGCCTTTTTTCGGTCAGACCATACCCAAGATTTTGTTAGATGTGAACTGAAGTCATGGAGCCTTCTAAGCTCTCCATTATCTGGACTTCTGTAAAGCTTTTCACGTGGTCCCCCACAACATGATGATCAGAGGGATGGAGCAGCTCTGCTGGGAGGAAAGGCTGGGAGAGCTGGGATTGTTCAGCCTGCAGAAGAGAAGGCTCCAGTGTGACCCAACTGTGGCCTTCCAGTGCCTGAGGGAGCTGACAGGAAAGATGGAGAGGCACTATTGACAAGGGATGGAGTGACAGGACAAGAGGGAATGACTTCAAACTGCCAGAGGGCAGGGTTAGATGGGATATTGGGAAGAAATTCTTCCCTGTGAGGGTGGTGAGGCCCTGGCACAGGTTGCCCAGAGAAGCTGTGGCTGCCCCTGGATCCCTGGAAGTGTCCAAGGCCAGGTTGGACGGGGCTTGGAGCAACCTGGGCTAGTGGAAGGTGTCCCTGCCCATGGCAGGGGGTGGGACTGGATGGTCTTCAAGGTCCCTTCCAACCCAGACCCTTCTGTGATTCCATGACTCTCCACTGGCACTCACACACTGTCCATCCCATTTGGATCATTCCTGTGTTTGCTGCTGTGACAACTGGACATTGTCATCCTGACTCTGCTGCTCACTCTGCCCCAAATCACTCATGCTAGTTAGTACCAAACTTCAGTGACGTGATGAGAAATCAGCTCAGATTGATTATTTTTCCCCAATTACCTGTCATTTTGTCTGTTGTAGGCTGGAGAGAGAAGCTGCTGTTTCAGGGCAGGAATTCCCACCATCACCAGCCTTGGCAAGCTGCTTCCTTCCCTGCTTCTCAGTTAATGAAATCAGGTAAATTAACATTAGTGAAATGTTAATGGCTGATATTTGTAGGCTTCCCAGAGACTGGGCTGGGCCAAACCCCTTAATCCTTTTAGCTGATTCATGACTGCATCCTCTGAAATGAAAAATGTTGGCAAATGCAGTGATTGTGCTTGATTCCAGAGAAAGGGAATTTGAAAATGAGGAAATTTGTTAAAGAAAACGCTCAGAGTGGCAGCCAGAAAGGTAAAATGTTTTCAGATGGCAGGTAGACTATTTTAGGATTCTATATTGGAGGCTCAAAGCAAATGCATATAACCTGTCAAAAAAAAAAGACTTGAGAGGAAAACAAAAAGCTGGCATCATAAAACAGCAGGATCAGGGAGGCTCTTGGAAGTTAAAAGGTATCCTGCAAAAAGCTGAAGTTGTGTCTGAAAAAGGAAAACTAAAAAGAACATAAATTCTGGCAGACTAAATGTAAAAGCACAATAACATAGACTGAAGAAAGAGTTTAGAAGCAGTTTGCTAAAGAAATAGAAAAGTATGCTATAAATCCTTCCTGAACACATCAAGAGCAAGAAGCCTTGGAAGAGTCAGTGTGAGGGAGAAGGCTCAGAAAAGATGATGCCATCACAAAAAAATCCCAAGCACTTTTTTTTTTTTCCAAAATCTCTTCACCTGGAGAACCTTGAAAACTCTCCAACCAGCACCTTGTTTGTAAGGCCTTCAGAGAAGGCTTGTCTTAATTTCAGGGTGTTAAGTGGAGATTACAGACCAGATAAAATGAATAACAACATATCACTGGGCATGGATGGAATTCAAGCAAGGTTTTTATTGAATGTTAAATATGAATCATCTGACCTAACACCCTCAGTATGTATGTAACCTTTTGCTGAAAATTGCTGTGATTTTCAAAGGGCTGGAAGGTAACGAGTAAGAAATCGGGTTTTTTAAATAAATCCAGTGGCAATTCAAGAAACCACAGATCACTAAGTTTAATGTCCATTTGGGTCATATTGGCTGAAGCTGTGGCAAAGAACAGAATTAGCAAGCACATGAATAAAAGTAACATGTTAGGGAAAAGTAAACATGACTTTTGTAAAAGGAATCTGAGCCTCCTAAATCTGCTGGAATTCTCTGAAGGACTCAAAAGCATGTAAATAGCAGAGCTCCAGCTGAGAAATTTTCCCTGCATTTCCAACTCACCCCAAGCTTCCAGAAACCTCATGCATAGAAGGTCCCATCAAAGGCTCTTAAAAAAAATAAACAGCCAGGGATTGCAGGTGAGGACCTCACAGAGTTAAATAAGAATTTAGTACTGGAAAAAGAAGATTATACTAAAGGATGAGTTTTCACAGTAGAAGACGATCATCAGGGGAGTCCCACAGAGATTATGGTCCGTGGTGCTCAATGTGCTCAGGAATGATTTGGAAAGTTGGTGGAACAGTGAAGATGATTTCTGATAAAAACTAAATTAATTAGGATAATATTTACTACAAAAAACTTCAAGATCTTACAACACTGAGCAAGCCTCATGATGAAGAGGAAGATAAATTTCAGCCCTGACAACCATAATCTGGCTATCCACAAAAAGCAACACTAACTTTACACGGGGAGTGATGGGCCCTGAGCTAGTTTGCACAATTTAGGAAATGCATCTCAACATTGTAACAGCTTGTTCTATGAATATGTGACCCCATTGCTGAATAGCAGGCAAAAAAAAAATTCCAAAGTTTAGCACAGTTTGGAGAGAAAAGCACAACCTTGCCCCTGTACGATTTATGGTGTCTCTGCTTCTCCAAAACAAAGCACACTTCTGGTACCTTCACCTGAGACAGACTGTAACAGGCAAAAGAAAAGCTACGTGGCAGGCTGACAAACATGGTAAGTACAAAACCTCTTTCATGTGAAAAACAAAGTTAGCAGGAGAAGTTGAATGGGAAGGGATCACTTGGCGTTTGTCGTTCCCAGTCGTGCCGAGCAGGCCAGGTGCCAGGGAGGGGGGACGGACACCGTACAAGAGCTCTGTCTCGTGCCTCTTTGTTCAGCTGCTGAAGCCTTCTATGCTGTCAGACAACGATTTCAAGGGCTGTGGGAGAGCTGTGACAGCTACACTTCATACATAATCCCTGCATGTTTTCAGGAAAAAGAATATAAAGGGGGAAAGGAGGAATAAACAATTGCTGTACTTGCAGTACTTTCTGTGCCCATTAATTCTAATTCATCATTCACTAGAGGTCTCTACTTCTTTTCCCATCTGCCCTCCTCCTACCACATTTTCTGAACTAAAATTTAAAAAAATAATAATTAAAAAACCACAATTAGGCAGCATTTATTAACATCTGCCTGTAGTGACCCAGCTGTTGTTTGCCAGCCTCTACAGTGATGTATTTTAACATCCTCCTCTCACCTCTCTACACTTCTTTCCCAGCTCCTTTGAGCATGGGGGGCTCAGGCTGCTAACTCAGCTCCTTCAGGGACAGCTCTACCTTTCAGTCACTTGTGCAGTGACTTGTACCAGTTGGTCCCAGCCCTGATCACAGCCTTAAACTCCTGGCGAGCCATTAATAATACACAGCAATCATCTTAATTGCAACCGGGTGTCTGGAATTTAGGAGCTGTGCACAGACTTCCTTCTATCCACAATATTATTGTCCCATTGTGCATTTTGGAGTTTAGCTCTCATTAAAAGTAATAGAGGGAAATAGTCTGTAGCAAACTGAATGTGTTTGTTTTCACAGTTCACCTCCTGCTCCTCTGCACTAAAACACTCTCGCTCAGTGACAAGACCACAGCTGTTGCCATCGTTTCCTTACCTGCAGAGTGCAATATTTAGCTGGAGGGACACTGAAGTTTTCTGTTTGTTAGTTATCATGTCAACAACTCTCACCTTATCACTTCAGTTTCCATTCAGTTGATAAAACCTGTCAGCCTTCCTTGAGTGGTTCCAGGCCCTCAGAAGAAATCACATTAAATTGGCACAGCCAAGTAAATCTGGAAGGGATGTGCTCCTGGCTTACCAAAGGAAATGGGGGAGGGCTTGAATTTCTCTCCCTCTTCCTCCCTGCACAGCTCCAATGTCCGAGTGCTCGGAGCAGTGTTGAAATCCTCCCTACGGACTCAGCAGTTCAAGTCAGATCAGGTCTTTGAATATGGCCCAGAGGAGACGTCTGTGGAGCCGAAATTGATATGTTTAAGTGCAAGAGACAATAATCATTTCTTCAAGTATAAGCTAAAAATACCCGGAAAAAAATGGAATTCATAATGGAGATTTTAAAGATCTGTGACACACCAGAGCCTGCGCAAGGGTTTTAATGAGAGAGAAGCCAGTTTAATTGGTCAGTGTGAGCAGATGCTTTGCTGGGTGAGTGGGCTACGAGGTCTCACAGCCCTGGTTAACGCCAGGAGCATCAGCCCTGTCCTCAACATGGCTGTGACAAGCCCGTGTCACAGCAGCGCAGTGTCAGAGCCAGGGAACCTCGGTCATCAACGTCTCCACGGTGTCAGATCACAGAGCCACGGGGAGAGAGCACTAAAAGGAGGAGGCAAAAGCCGACAAAGGAACGTTCCTGAAGATAATTGCAGGACTGACCGTCTCCTCTTGTCGCTTGCTTCATTATCACTCTGGGCATGAAGCTGAACCAGCCTGTTAAGTTTTAACGCTGTGTTAACAGGGAGCTGCCGAGCACCAGGGCTCAGGTTCACAGGCCTCCCCTGTGAAAACTCTTCTGCAGTGTGTGTCACCGTCCTAGGAAAGCCAGGAATAACTTGCGTGGCCCGTTCAATTACAGACACTCACACCCAGCTCCCTCTCCTCGTGGCACGGCTCATCAATCAGGGCCTCTGTCACCGTGTCTCCTCTCATCGCAGTCACCAGAAGGCTCTGAGCTCCCCCCAGTCCGTGTGACATTTACTGTCAGGGGCTGTCAACACCAAGAGATTCTCCCAGGGCCTCCGAGTTCATCACAAAGCAACAAGATCTATCCCCAAAATGCGCTCCCGGTTCCAGCTCTGGATTACAGTGACTGACTGAGGGGCTTTGCAGCTCTCAGGGAAGAGTGAAACAGCAGCACGAGCTGCAGCTTATGCCCAAATACCTTTGTTTTCTTATTCTCTTGTTAGAAAAATACAACTGCTTTAAGAGAGGTTTCAGGCTAATGATTAATTAAGCTTCCTCAACACCATCCCTTATAAACTTATTAAGAGAAAGCTGAGATTGTTTACTTGGAAATTTAGTCTTCCCATCTTTAGCATTGATCCTGCCTTCACTCTCTGTTTAACAACACAGTGACCTAGTGGAAAAAATTTATAAAACTTAATAAATTGCACTAGGCAATATTGACAGAGTGTGTATATGCACATTTGGGTTTGTATGAACGTATTATAAGAAATCTAATAAAGTAAAACAAACACATTTGCTCTGTTTGTGAGCTGTGAAACAAGATCCCTGTAATTACAATGTTTGAAGCATACTTGGTCAAAGGGGTATGGTGAGATTTTTGGCCATATATTTCTGGTTTGAGATTAAAGAACAACTATTGTTTATCAAGGGTTACATGTTGCACAAAACTGCTTTGCTCAAGATGCAGAAAAATAAAAATGTTGATGAAAACCTAAGTTAGCAGAAGACCTCTATGAGACCAGAGGAACCAGCACCCAGAGAATAAAGTTCCAGTCGCAAATGTGTCTCGAAAAAACGATGAAGGACTTGGAGATATGTTCATTTTGTCTGACTTTTAAGGGGGAATGGGCCTTGATGAGTGTTTAAACCAGTGACTGAAAGAGTGCTTTCGATTGCAAGGTTTTTAAAAGACCATAGAATGTATATAACCTTCTAGAACTTTGATGTCTATTTTTAACTTGCTTTCTACAACAAGCCTGGTTTCCTCTTCCAACCAAAATAAACATATTTCTTAAGGAGCACAGTATTTATTTCCCTAAGGAGCAAAGTACTTATTTCCCTAAAATTACCGTGGTAACAAATAGAGTTTTCTCAGCCTCTTCTGGTACACTCACTGTGCTCAGCCATGGATCACCACCATCTGAGTCCAACAATCCAGGCCATTTTCCATCCGATTTATAGCCCATTTACCCAATCCATACCTCACCCACCAGGTTGGTAAGATGACACTATGAGTGCCCACGTCAAAGTCTTGGTAGATTCAAGGTAAACACCATTCACATGTCTCCCCTTGTTCTCTGAGCCACTTTCATCATCAGGTTGTTTGGGCAGATTGTCCTTGTCAAAGCCATTGTGGCTGTTCCAAGACACCTCTTGCTTAAAATAGTTTCCAGGAGAAGATGCACCATCACCTTCCAGAGAGCCAGGCTAAATCAAGTGGCATAGAGATGCCCAATCTTTCTTCTTACCCTTCTTATAGAATCACAGAACGGTTTGGGTTGGAAGGAACCTTAAAGATCATCTCATCCCACCCCCCTGCCATGGGCAGGGACACCTTCCACCAGCCCAGGTAGCTCCAACCTGGCCTTGGACACTTCCAGCAATAGGACAGCCACAGCTTCTCTGGGCAACCTGTGCCAGGGCCTCATCACCCTCCCAGGGAAGAATTCTTGAATAAGTGTCTGGTGTTTGCCCTCTTTCAGTCAGCAGAATCTTCTTTTGATTATTGTGGCATCAGCCACTTCCCCCAGCACCCTTGGGTGCATGGAACAAAATCCCACCATCAGCACCCAGAAAAGCTGCACTGACACACTCTGCACCTGCAGCAATTCCTCATGGCTTGTCACCTCTTCCTTCTCAGTGTCCTTCCCACTCTGCAAGGACACAAACCAGCTGAGCTGGTCAGACCCCACAGCAGCCCTCACTGACCATCCTCCTGCTTTAGCTTGAGCCACTCTCTCTTCAACATTTACTCCTTTACCCACGTTACTCCACAGCAGCTGGTACCTCTGGGCTTTGCCATCTCAGCTTTGTCTTGCTGTGACAGTTCCCTTCACAGAATCACGGGATTCTAGAATGGTTCAGGCTGGAAGGGCCCACAGTGAATCACCTGTCCCACCTCCCTGCTCAGTCCCAGAGCACACGGCACAGGATTGTGTCCACACAAGTCTCAAGTGAGGAGACTCCACACCCTCTCTGCTCTCTCTCCAGGGCTCAGTCACGTCACAGAAAAGTTCTTCCTCCTGTCCAGCTGCAACTTCCCGGGCATCAGTTCCTGCCCGTTCCTCTTGGGCCATTGCTGGGCCCCCCGAGCAGAGCCTGCTCCAGCCTCTGCCCCCTCCCTGCAGCCCCTGACACAGCCTGGGGAGGGCCCCTCTCAGGCTCTGCTCTGGAGGCTGAACAGCCCCAGCTCCCTCAGCCTTTGCTGCTCCCAGAGCTGCTCCAGCCCTTGGGCATCTCCGCAGCCTGCGCTGGCCCCGCTGCAGGAGCTCCCTGGCCCTGCTGTGCTGAGGAGCCCCAGCTGGGCCCAGCCCTGCAGATGTGCCTGCCCAGGGCTGGCCAGAGGGGCAGGATCCCCTCCCTGCCCTGCTCCAAGGCTCTTCCTGATGCCCCCAGGATCCCATTGGCCTCCTTGGCCCCCAGGACACACGGCTGGGCAGGGACAGCTGGTTGTCCCTCAGGACCAACAAGTCCTTCTCCACAGAGCTGCTTCCTCATCCCTCAGCATCCCCATTTCATCTTCATCTGAAGATTTTCCCTTCTGCAGTGTCAGACACAAACACACCACTGCAGCACGGACAGTGTGCAGCTCCTGTGGAATCCTCACAATGTGAATCCAAACAGATCAGCTCTGTTGTTGCCTTGCTAGTTGCAGAAAAGACAGAGAGCATCACTCATCAACTGGTTGGGGACTTGAAAGGAAACTAGGACTAACAGCCTTAAAAATACAGTGATTAGCTGAGCAGACCTTGGAAGAACCAATACCAGCAAATGCAGGTTCAGATTTTGGAGCATTAATTAATGGTATCAACCTGATGAGCAAGAAAATTAAGGCAAGATTATATAGTGGAGATGCTGATATTTCTATTTTGCATGTAATTTTCATCCCCAAACAAACCGTAGTAGCTTAGCAAACACTGGTCTACTAACATGAGACAATTACAGACACATTTAGTAAAACAGGCAACTAAATTACTTTGTGATTACACTATTAAGCCAAATCTGAGGTGAAAAGGATAAAGGATTTGTGTCCCATATAACATTACCAAAAAAAAAAATAAAAGCTGTGGAAAACCTAGAGAAACTTGGTAGTCTAAATCAGGTGTTTAGGCTGATGAAGGAGAGTGACTATGGATCTCTGGGAAAGCCACACTTGAAGCTAAACTTGCAGCTATTGAAGCATAAACCACAGATAAAACTGAACAAGAACCCTGAGTTCATAACAGGAATTACCAGCACAGATGGCTTGAAAAGAGAAAGCCCAAGAATTTCTGTACCTCTGGAACAAAGAAATAAACAAGAAAGTGGAGTGTTCAGCTGGAATGAGCACGGCAATATTCCTACTGCTGAAGGAAACCACCAGGGAAGGACAACAAAAGCTGATTTTTCCTCCCGCTAGCATGGCACGGTCTCCGTTGGGAACTCTGCCATCTCCTGTTGCAACACTGCTGGAACAAACACAGCACATATAAACCAAGGGAGCCCCTGTGAGCACCATCAGCCACAAAGCCAGGCTGAATGGGACCAGAGGTGGGGGGAGATCCACACACAACCCAAACCATACCCACGCCTTAATGCATTTATTGCACTTTTCCATTCACAACTGAAACAAATGTTTTGCATTTATACCCATGTCCCAAATATAATTAATCATGTCCCTGGTTACAGGATGAGCAACTGATGGAGTTTCTGATCACACCTGAAACGACTTTCTTGTGTTGCAATCTCCCCTTGTCCGACTCGGGTGGAGCACCCAAACACCTCCCTGCTCTGCAGGTGCACAGTGGGTGAGGAGTCACAGAGTGGGTCAGGCTGGAAGGGCCCACAGTGGCTCATCTGGTCCCACCTCCCTGCCCCAGCAGGGCCATCCCACAGCACATGGCACAGGATTGTGTCCACACAGCTCTGCAAGATCTCCAGTCAGAAGACTCCACACCCTCTCTGCTCTCTCTCCAGGGCTGGGTCACTGCCCAGCAAAGAAGTTCTTCCTCCTGTCCAGCTGCAACTTCCCGGGCATCAGTTCCTGCCCGTTCCTCTTGGGCCATTGCTGGGCCCCCCGAGCAGAGCCTGCTCCAGCCTCTGCCCCCTCCCTGCAGCCCCTGACACACCCTGGGGAGGGCCCCTCTCAGGCTCTGCTCTGGAGGCTGAACAGCCCCAGCTCCCTCAGCCTTTGCTGCTCCCAGAGCTGCTCCAGTCCCTCGATCAACTTTGTAGGAAAAGGCACAGTTTAATTGGTTTATAATCACAGGTTCAGGAATCCTTCAGCACTTCACACTACTAATGTGGTCCCTATATTTAAGGCAGGGCTCATCTCTGGGCTCAGGGTATCTTCAGAGACACCCCAAAGCTGCAGGTACAACCTGGGTCCAGCTGGCTGGAAGGGCTGTGTGTCCCTGCTTGTGCTTTCCATGGGGTGTTATCCCCCCACCCTGAGCTACGGCAGATCCTTAGGGACCTTCCCTGCCGTTGTCCCAAAACAGCTTCTTTCCCTCGATGTGCAAGAGGCTGATCCACACACAGAGTGGAGGTATTTGATTTATTTACAGTTCTTCAAAGCATGGAGGGGCTGAGTGGCAAATCCACAAAGTCAGCAGCACCACTACCAAAACTTTTCACTATTTATATATTTTAGCAAACACAGGCATTCGTGGTTATTGGCTACAAGTTGCATAGTTCTCTTATTAACGGTTCTATTTTTTATTAGTTAACGATTCTCTCACTTCTCATTGTAATTAGTCCACACGCTCAGTCTTCCTTTTCTTTTGTTTGGGTGGGTTTCTGGGGCTTGGTGGCCATGAGATGGTAGTCACAATCTCCCCCCCAGAACTACCTCTAACCCAGTCGGAGCTGATTCAGCACAATCACTGAGTTGTCTTTATTAATTTCTTCCTTATCTTGGGGGTTCTGCCAGATGTCCTTGTAGCCTGCAAATTCTGCATCATTCGAGTCCACTTTCAGTGGTACATCCTTCTTCCCAAGCTTTGTTAACCTCTCTTAGGCCTGAGACCATTGAAACATGTCAAACCCCAAACCTTAACAGGGCAATTCCACCTTCTAACACTTCCACTTCTAACACTTGGACATCACTTCGAGCTTGTGAGCTGCTCTATGTTTTGCAGACTAAATGTCCCTTCTTGATAAGGCTTGAAAGTACACTAAGATCAAACACCAAAGAACAGCCCAGCCTTCCTTAAGAAAATTTTTTAACATTCCATATTTTGCAACAATACGGCAAGACCCTGTTTCACAAACCCCCTTCTGACCCCCTGTAACACTCTGGGCAAATTGTTAACTGTTTCTGACTTTTGAGATGCCAGCACCGTTCACAAGGCAACTCCACCAACAAGTAATTTGTTTTTCGAACACCTGGGCATCCCTTAGAGCTTGCTGGCTGCCGTTTCAAGGGTTAAATCTCCCTTCTTGCTCAGCAAGCTTGAAAGCAAACAAAGATCAAACACGAAAGAATACAATTTCTTAAGAATTTCTTTTTAATAGTCCACATTTTGCAAGACCACGGCAGCCGCCCTCGGGGCCCGCTCCGGCCGCGCCCCCACGGCCCCTCAGCGCGGGCCTCCCGGGGGCGGGGGGCGCTGTGTGCCCGCCATGGCGGCGGGGCCGCTCTGGCCCCGCTCTGTGCCCGCCCGTGGTCCCGCCGCGGCCCCGCCGCCCTCACCCGCTGCTCGGCCCCGGCCCCGCTCGGCCCCCGCGCTCCCCGTAGCCCCCCGCGCCGTCCCCCCGGCCGCTCCCCGGTCTTTATGCCCTCGGCGGGGCGGCGGGCGCGATGTGGCGGCTGCTGCTGGGC